GCACGCGAAAGCTAGTGGGCAGTATACACACATTGATCATAAGAGGAATTGTTTTGGAATGTAGGCTGTACCGATTGGACCTTCCCCCACTCCATGACGACCTTTTCCTGTTGTTCCAGGTGGTTGTATTCGATTGAGCTTGCTCTAGATGATCAGGCGAATGTTGGGCTGTCCCAAAACTATCACACCTTTTTTGTGACATTTGATAAAAAAAACTATTCAATCGATCTTTAGCAACCACCTACAGAAGTCAACACCGCCAAAGTACCCGAGGCTGCTCAGGTATCTCACTCTCTTTTGCTAATAATGGATTTACCGCGATCGCTGCAATGACAAACGTTTTTGTGGTTGTTTGGAGGCAACTGTGATGGCCGGGAGGTGGACTCAGTCCGCGGACGTCATTAGAAGGGCAAGGGAGCAGGGTTAACCGTGCGTTGCGCAGACTTCAAGAGTTTGACGACACCCCACCCCCTTCTCCATCCCCTTCTCTCTTGCAGGGGGTTCTACACGACTCCCCTCTTTTATAGAGGTTCGATACGACCCCTCACAACCACCATCGGTTTTGGGAGAGTCCTTCGATATACGACCCCGTCTTTCCCATCCCCGACTACCACCGTCAAAATTATGGCTGAAAAACATGTCTAAAGAAATGGAAAATCTCGAATCCTTCCCTCTTTCCTCCTTTCATGAAATTTTCACCAAAATTGGTAGAGAACCCGTCAAAAAGGACCCCCGTACCCCTCTGCGACCGCGGCGACCCTTACAACTTCCACAAATACGACCCCCTTTTTGACCTTTTCGTCTTCACCAAACCAAAATACGACCCTCCTCCAAAGGAAATCAAGTACGACCACCCCCCCCCCTCGCTAAGAACTGCGCAACACACGGTTGACCATATTTGGGAGACGGTTAGACCACAAGCCTCTTAGCGCGCTGGAAATGTGGGTAGACGTCACAATTACTGACTTTTATAATCAGCGGATAAAGCCTTAGAAACATTTGTGTTAGTTTCTTGTGCCGTACGAGGTTTTTAGGTGGAACATTTATTAGTCCGGCCTAACTTTTTTTTTACTGAGTAGCGTCTATATGTGGTAGCGGGATTCCCGCGCGAACGGTGGAACCCTGGGCCTCAGAAGACGACGATTTTGTCGAAACGTTAGGCCGAACTAATAAATGTTCCACCTATCAACCTCGTACGGCACAAGAAACTAACACAAATAAGAACAAGATGCCGAGGTTACAAGAAGAAGAGAGAAGCTGGAGACTACTTAGAAACATTGATTATGAGGTTCAGACTCCTGAAATGGGCGACAGAGCTGCAGAGATGTTCGGAATTGAAGCTTAAGGCCATTCTACACACGATGATGGCAGTATTGAATCCATTTCGGAAGTTGCACACTTCGTTTTTCCATGTAATCTCGAATTCTAGAAGACCCATTTTACTCTTGAAATTCGAGTTTTTTTGCTTTGTATGTTTTCTTTTTTGTTTGCAGAAGTTCTGCAGTCTTATATTGCGCCATAAAAAATTGACGCTCCAACGTTTACTTGTTAGACTTGTCAAGGAAATCAAAGTATCTCCGCACCGTAACTTTTCGATTATAACATACCAGATTAGTCCCCCGTCAACCGCCGGGACCTTCCTTTCCTGCGCAAGCTTTCTATCCTCCGCTATGGTCCCTTCCTCCTGTGACACCAACACCTCCTGGAAGTGACGCGTATGCAACACAATGGTGTTTCATACAGTAGAAGGGACACAATCATGATATGACGGTAGATTTTTCGCTTCCCTTCCTCATCCTCCCTTCTCTCTCCACTGCCCTCCAGCTGCCACTGCAGCACCATGTGGAATGAACGGAAGTGTGCTAAGCAGGTGTTTATATAGCCCTAAGAGTGTTATCACAACTATCCTGCTACAAACATTGATATCTCAAATCCTGTAAGCTACCCGATTTGTTAGCGGTTTGTTTATCCCATGAGCTTCCTTCTCACTCACTTCATTTTGCGGACGGACACACACACATACACACACACACATACAGATACACAAACCGACACACAAAGTTAGCGCTTTATAAAATAGAAGGATAAGCAAAATTCTACACATAACATTAATTCTCAAAAAGGTGAGAAAATTCTGTCTGTTTAGTACCCATGGTAAGTATGAAAGCAGACTAACCCCAAATCGGTTATGATGTTTGGAAGCATTTTCCGCCAGGAGAAAGCGAATGGGAGAACATAACGGCACGGCATGGGAATGAGCGCCTGAGTCATTAAATTTAAAAGAGCTCTCATAACATGACATACCAGGCTACGGTGAAACAGGGGGCAAATACCTACGACTAATGCGTGTTTCGTGTCTCTTCTTCCTTCTTACTCCATGCGAGCATTCCTTAACAGTTGCGCACACTCCTCGAGACACGCTTAGGGAGAATCAGAGAACCTGTTAAATGTATTCGATATAAATCAAACGGGCTCGAGTGTGATTAGGGATGGGGGCGTCATGGTTCAGAACATGCAGCACATTCAGAAGCACCACAAACACTTTCTTTTATCGCTACCAGGTGCTAACGTAGTTAGGGAGGAAGGGGGCGGAGGCCGTGGCCGTTGCGGAGCACGGCATGTCTGCGTCATCTCGGCGATATGGCTAGTAACTTTAGCGTAGAAAGAGTCACTTGTGAGACAGGGGGATATGGGAAGTTCAGGGGGCAGAGTGAGTCGTTTGACATGCGTGAAAAGCTGGAATCTACGAGCTACACGAACCCGCAGAAAGCGCGCTAACGTGTCCTGCAATGGGCCCCCGAAGAGCCAGACGGCTGCTTCTGCTTTCTGCAGCTCTACAATTGGTCTATCCCTGCTCATCTCTGATTTTCGACTGATCAATGCCGGGAAATGGATAGAAAAGAAGAAGAAAAAACTGTTTCTGTTAATATAATGATAATATGATAATATGTGGTAAGGTTTCTGACTGGTCCATAACTCAGCAATCCCATAAGAATCTCATACTACATATTTTCTATTCATAGCTCTGCAATATCGTTATAATATTCTTATTATTCTCATGACGCCTGAGGGGCTATCAATCAGCAATTTTGAACAAAGCAAGAAGAGTAAAACTAGATGACTCTTTTATAAGCGAAATACATATAAATATATACACAAACGAGGAATTATTGGCAAATATTTCGATCGGCTCGACAGTCGGCTGACTGAGTAGCGACAAACAGCCGCCCGCTGTGGCACACACAAAGTTGTAACTGAGGAGCACCACGACCGGCACTCCGTGGTTGACCTTCCATAAAAATATTAGCAGATTCGAGACGAATTTCACCCTAGAAATGGATCCATCTTTGGCGGGACATTTTCTTCCATTTTCGGAAGCTTTTCTCAAGAAATTCAAAAGGTTGGTAAGGAATTATTGAATGTACTCCCAATTCAACTATCGTGCTACATGCGCTGTTTACCAAGTAAGGGCATCTGATGCAGTAATTTGTGTGGGTAACGGAAACCGCAATCTCGCACAAGTAGTATGTTGAAGCTAGGAAATGCTGCAAGCTCGATTAGTAAGCCAATTCAATGATTTGTAAAATGTTGATGGTGTTTGGTGCAAGGCAGTGCGAACAATCAGCTGTGAGTAAGAGGTTGAGGATTTGGGGAGAAGTCCTAGGAATGTAGAACAAACTTAACAGTGGAACAAAGAGATTTAGCATGTCGAGAGCTGGTTTGCTCACCCGAAGCTCTTCATATCCCCTAAGCTTGGATGAAATCCTCATCCCCTGCTCTATATTTTGTGCTCTAACTAACATGCAATTCCAACGGTATGCAGCGTTCCAAGTACTATCATGCCACAAAATTGGAATTCATGGAGATGACAATTGTGAGTAGGCGCCCACACCAGGAGCAGTTACTTTTTCTAGTAAGTAGGGACAAAAGTAATTAGGAAGTAAAATTATAGTATTGCGAAGAAACACTACGGGAAGTGCACAAATTTGAGCGAACAATGCAACCGGTTTCCGTAACGTAGTTAGTATAATGTAGTGGTGCACCACGTTCACCGCAATCGTTAGTTAAGCACGATGTCTA